CAGGCCTTAGGACCCACAGGGAATGGACCACAAGTTATGTGGCCCCATGCTGCCAGCGTATAACCGCCCCCTCAGCCTCCACGGCAGTGCTTTCAGCACACATACCCACTCTGGGTAATCTGCAGACCTCCACGGTCTTACGGAGCTCCCCGCAGCATGATTCCCCCCAACCTCCACCCCCATACCCACCTATAACCAGCTCCTCATCCTCCTCCCGTGCGAGGGCTACCCTTGCAGCTCCTAGTCCCCCGCGCTGTCTGTTCCGTGTGTCAGACCATAGTGCGTCGGAACGTGACCTCAGTCAGATGCAATTTCTGCTCTGGCTGGTGTCACTTTCGGACGTGCTCTGGCCTGCGCACCACCCGTGAGTGGAGCGATGCGTACGTTGCCCCATGCTGTAGGAGTCTGCCCCCGCATGTCTCTACAAACCCTCCGCCAATCAACACCAATGTGCGGAACCAACTCTCGCGGGTAGTACAGCAGCAACACACACCATCCACGCATCACTCCCTCACCCCCCGTATCACGAACATTCCCCCGAGACAGAGCCGACTTTTACAATTCATCTGCAACGGACTCCAGGGAAAGATTGACGAGATAGTCGACTATATGAGCCGGGAGCACCTGTCAATTACTGCGATCCAGGAAACCAAGTTGACCGCCCGATCAGATCTTCTGAGCAGGGCCGGATACAACATAATCCGCAAGGATCGCGAGCGAGACCATGGTGGGGGCTTAGCGTTCATCCTGCACATCACCGTGCAGTATCGTCTCATCGATGGCGACATCGACCGCAGGGATACTACCCTAGAATGTCAGGGCATATCTATCCGATCAGGCGATGTCGAGCTCGAAATATTTAATATATACATTCCTCCAGTTACAAGTTGCCCAGCTGGATACACTTCTGATATAGGTGCGCTACTCAGGGGCGAAAACCGTTTGGTTTTGGCCGACTTTAACGCGCATCACGATCTTTGGCATTCTAGCCTGTCAAATGACCGTAGAGGAATGGAGCTGGCGGAACAGATAGACGATTCGACATTCTGCACAATGAACGATAACACCCCCACCAGAGTTGTGGGTAATTGCCAAAGCTCGCCAGACATAACAATTGCGAGTGCTGGTCTGATAAACAGTATAGTCTGGCGACCTATACTGACGTTAGCATCGGACCACTTGCCCATACATATCTCGATTGACAGGCCTCCCAACTTTGTTTCCGCGGACCACCGGACATTCGTTAACTTTAAAAAAGCTAACTGGCCCGGATTCACGGAATTTACCGAGAACGCCTTTAGTGCTCTTCCCACTCCAACTGACGTCACCGCTGGTGAACGCTCATTCCGCAGGGTCGTCGTGACCGCTGCCGCCCGCTTCATCCCGGCAGGCCGAATTGCGGAAATCCGCCCTAACTTTCCGACAGAAGCGGCGGTACTAGCAACCAGGCGCGACACCCTTCGAAGCTCCGATCCCGGGAATCCCCTAATCAGGGATTTAAACGCGGAGATTCGACGAGTCGTAAACAATCATAAGCGGAAAAGGTGGGAGGAGCACCTAAGGACCTGCAACCTCTCCTCTGGGGCAACCAAGCTCTGGGCCACAGTCAAGTCGCTGTCTAACCCGACGAGACGCGATGACCGGGTGGAAATTTCATTCGGTGATCGCGCCTCGTCGGACCCGAAGAGATGCGCGAGCTATTTTAGCCGTCTTTTTACACTGCATCCCTCGGTAGATAAAGCGAAACGACGTGTGACCCGCCGTATGCGCAAACTGCCAAACACCAGCGCGGTGCTTGATTTCTCCAGGGAGGAGGTTCAGGGGGTCATCGGGAAGGCGAAAGCCTCCAAATCCATCGGCCCCGACGGAATAAGCATGCTGATGCTGAAACATCTTGGACCAGCGGGAGCAGAATTTCTCGCGAGGGTCCTCAATCTGTCCTTGACCACCCTAAAGATACCCGACGTGTGGAAAATGGGTAGGGTGGTCCCGCTACTAAAACCGGGGAAACCAGCCAACAAAGGAGAGTCTTATCGGCCGATAACTCTCCTCTCCCCAGTAGCGAAGACGCTTGAGGCCTTACTGCTCCCGACCTTCACTCACCATCTGCGTCCAGCAGCGCATCAGCATGGCTTCCGAAAAGTGCACAGCACCACAACAGCACTTAACGCCATAAACACCCAGATAGTCCATGGCCTCAACCAAAACCGACCCTGCGCGCGAACTGTCCTAGTAGCACTGGACCTGTCAAAAGCCTTTGACACAGTAAACCATTCAGTGCTACTAACGGACATTGAGGAATCCTCATTACCGCCGGGGTTGCAGAGGTGGGTCATGGGCTACCTGAGTGGTCGACAATCATCGGTAATATTCCGAGGTAAAACATCTAAACCCAGAAAAATTAAACAGGGGGTTCCGCAGGGTGGTGTCCTCTCCCCGCTACTGTTTAATTTTTACATATCGAAACTCCCTCCACCACCAGAAGGAGTTTCCCTAACCTCGTATGCCGATGACTGTACGATAATGGCGTCCGGCCAGGATATTGATGACCTCTGCTCGAAAGTAAACGGCTACCTCGCTGATCTCTCCCACTTCTTCACTGCAGGACAGCTAAGGAGCATAATGCTTTGCTGTGCAAGCAGTTCCTATTGGGCTGCTACCGCACATCAGAAAGGGAGTACTAGACGTAAAGGACACAATCCAGCAATATGTACCACAACCGCTGGACAGGATGGCGTACCGACAAGCACTGAACGCCATTCACCAGGAGTCAGTCAACTAGGTGAAAAATTACCACCTATAGCAGACAACAAGCTCGAAATGCCTCGAGAGACCCGCGTGACCCTGACACAACTTAGGTCTGGATATTGTAGCAGGTTAAACTCCTACTTATCCAGACTAGACCTCAGCTTACCCAACATATGCCCTACATGTGGAGAATCTCCGCACTACACTAACCACCTCTTCACATGCGGGGTTAGCGAACCGCTACAACAACAACATAGTCTTATTTATGCAACAAGGATCGATATGTCCAAACAACAGAAAAGGAGATGATGGCGGGATACAAAAGTTAATTGGACAAATTTTAATATGGTAGTTAGGTCAGAAATATAATGTAGTCAAGAAGACTTCTTTGACAAGAAGATTAACATTAAAATCAACACAAGCTATAGCTGAATCATACTTAACAACACATAATATAAAGATATTATATAACAAAAAGATTGACATTATTAGTTCGGTGAAGATTTTAAGATTCGCAAGGTGTTAAAGGGGAGAGCTGGCTGGGGAGATGGCTATATTTCAAAAAGTACTTAACTGATTTTTTTATTGGACACCAAAGGACAGGCAATTAAAATCAATTAGAGTACAAAAAGACCTTTCATTTGATGTACAACTTGATATAAGAACACATTATATTTTATTTAAATTGAACCAAGACTAAGAGGAGGAAGAAGAAGAGAATAAATAAACTAATATAACTTACATAGATGTTTGGCTTGAGAATACTGTGCAAGGCGAAGCCGGTGTTAACTCGACACAGGTTTATAAATCAAAGCGCGGTTGAAGGCCGCCAACTTACAAGTTTCGCTCAAGAATACTGTGCAAGGCGAAGCCGTTGTTGATTCGGCCCAAGGTTACAATTCAAAGCGCGATCAACAACTTACAAAGGAGTTGTTGAAACTTTCCGCGAATTGCTTGTTAAATATCAAATTAAATGTATTTTCGTGCTCTTTTATTTCTTAGTTTTGCTTACTCGTGTGGTTAATGGGACAAACTGAGATTTTTTATAGAAATAGTTGTAAATTTTTTGATTTTCTGGATTTTCTCAAAATTTATGTTCAGAAAGTATTGATTTATGGAAATCAAAAAAAAAAAAAGGAATTTACTTGCATTTAAAACGATATAAAGTTTTTGAAGTACAAGTTTTTGAGATATGGCGTTTTGTAATTTTTAAAAATTCCCCCTTCGCCCCACAAAATCTACGAAAATAGAAGCCGGTGTTGCTCCGGCTGAGGGTTATAATCGAAAGTGCGGCCGAAGGCCGACAACTTACAAAGGTGTTTTACTTAAGAATAGTATACAAGGCGAAGCCGGTGTTGGTCCGGCTTAGGGTTACACTCTAAAACGTGACCAGAGGTTGCTAACTTACAAAGGTGTTTTACTTAAGAATGCTGTGCAAGACGAGGACGGGGAAAAATATATATGGTTTGGCATAATTGCAGAATACAGAAAGTAGAACAAAATGAATTAATGGTCGTCGTTTTTTATTTTCAAAGTTCGAAAGGTGGGTCAAAAAATTTTATATCATAAAAATCAGGAAAACAGGGCGGACCACACACACTTTCTTATTTTGTTCAACCTTAACGGTCTGTATTGTGCACTTGTTCCCAAAATTTTGAGATTATTTTTCTGTAACGCTTCCCAGCTAGAAGGAAAGTAGTTTTAAAATCTAGGCATATTGCTCTTTCTATCCATAACAAATTTTTTTTAAGAAAGCCTTCGGCTGACTACTACCGTGCTACCACCACCGATTAAATGCAAGGACCAAAAACGAGAAAAAAAAATGAAGTGGTCCGGATAAATACACATTCTGTACTATGTATTGCGCTTTTTTAGAATGTTTTTCACAGTATGGTAATATCAGTTTAACCATGCATTTGTCAGTAATTAGTTATAATTTTGAAATTCCATATATATGACCCACCTAGAAGCACATTGAATCAAATGTTAAGTCAATTTCTAATAAACAGCATAAAACAGGACAATTTTGCCGAAGATCATTTTTTCGCTATTATTTGCTCAGAAACAGATAATTACATTCCAAACATCACACGCAAGGTACGTACATATTTAGGCACTATACATACAAATTATACCGTTAGCCGGGTTAAGCAAGCTGAAAAATTACTTATGTATCACACATGTAGTCTCATTAGACTTAGTATATAGATAAGTTTTAATGGGGTTAATTGCTGTATTTAAAGACTACTCACGTTTTGTATAATTCTACAATTAATGTTTAGATTTGTCACTTAAATGGGAATTAAATTGAAATCCACAATTACAATATTTGCCGGTCGAAACGAAAAAAACGCTTGAACAATACATAAAAACATTTTAGTACGTAAATATCAATACCCAACTTACTTATTTTAGCACTCAAATATTATATCGATCACTATATTATTCAAATTTAGATTAAAGATGCAGACAAAAACACCTTGGATCAGTTCTTACAGAGCGAAACTGATTCGAGCCAAAAACAAATTTCACAAAACAGGACCAACAATCACATTATCAACAATGTATCGATATTATGCAAAGTACACACGATACCAAAGATCAGGATTCAGCTTACCGTACAGCAAAGCGATATATAAAACACGAAATCGTGAGACAATGATGACGAAAGCATTTTCCACTCTGATTCTTGCTTAGCTTAAATGTTTGATCCCTTGCTGTGATACTCTGTATTTCATTTATTCTTTGACTTTTGTTTTTAATCGTCATATAATTCACTTTTGCTACTTCTTGCAATATTCTTACAAAAAACTAAAAAAAACAAACCAGATACAAAGAAGCTATACAGCATGTTAACAGTTGTATTGTATGTTGTAAATATCTCAACATGTTGTACAGCTTGCTCCACAGCACGTTGCATTGTGTGTACTATGCATTAAATTGGTGTAGCTTAACCGAATCCATTACCAGGTGATAACACTTGCACAACAATTGATGCACATTGCCTATATACAATAAGTAGAATGTCGAAATTTCTGTCGGTATTTAACAATTAGTAGAGTTCGCAGAGTGTGGTTTCGTAAAGCTACCCATTCACAACAAAGAAATGCTTTCAAACGCTATATGTGCGAGTGATATTTAAGCGTGAATGGGCTTGTGCACATAGGAGTCCATGTTGGCGAAAATTGTTGATCGGTGTGTTTGTTGTTGTAGAGATTCGTCAATCCCGGTTATGGACTGGAGGACCAGAAAACGTGCTGTTTCGACGGGTTCAGACCAAAGGAAACGGGGGGATAAATGCGTCGGTTTAAGTGGGCATGTAAAGATATGATTAGTGTCGTGCGGAGATTCACTACATGCAGGGCATACGTTGGATATGCTGGGGTCGATTCTGGATAAGTAGAGGTTTAACCTGTTACAATATCCAAAACTAACTTGTGTTAGAGTCACGCACATCTCCCGAGGCAGCTCGAGCTAGTTGTCGGTCGTTCTTTTTCCCCGAGCACGTCCCGGAGAGGTGGTTTTTGGATGGTTTCCCTCGTATATAGTTCCCTATGGTAATATCCCAATATAAATTGCTTGCACAGCGAAATATTATTCTTCTTAACTCGTAGCATAGATGTTTCGCCGATAAATGCAAAGCTTTCGACAGATCCAGTGCTATCAGGATAGTTCGGGCGCAGGGTCGGTTTTGATTAAAGCTATTAACTGCATGGGTGCTTATGACGTTAAGCGCTGTTATAGTACTGTGACCGTCGGGAGAAGTAAGGCCTCAAGCGTGTTCGCTACTGGGGAGATTAGGGATATCAATTGACTTCGATTCATGGACCACAGCAACTGACAGGCCCTCCCAGCTCGTTTGGTGGATTATCCCCACTGTCTTTCCGTGAAGTACATTGCAGTTCAATTTTAACTGCCGTGTCTCTTTCGGGGGGACGTTCGTAACACGGGGGATGCGGGTGTGTTGCGTGGGTGTCGCGTGTTGTTGCTATAATACCTGCTGGATCGGATATTGCGAGTTGATGTTGGTTGGCGGCGTTGTTGTAGAAACAGGCGGGGCAGATTCCTACAGCATGGGGAAACGTACGCATCAATCCTTTCACGGGCAAAGCGCAAGCCACAGCACGTTGGAATATGGCAACAGCCAGAGCAGCAGTGGCATCAGGTAAATGTCATGTTTCATGTCGAACTAAAATCTGCTAAGTAGATGGGTAAGAAAAAAAGAAGTCAAAACTATTATTGAAAGAAATTGCATACATTTTTCGCGCAGTGGTAAAAAACTTATAGAATACAAGGAAAATAATTTTCTTCACTAATGTTTCCACCAAGCAAAGAATTTAATTAATGATTTATTTTTAATTTAGAGCTTTGGGAAACGGGCTAGTTGCCAGGTAATATTTACTAGTCTCCAACGAATTATTTCCGGCGGTGAAATGAAAATACGGGCTTATTTAAGAATTTCTTGCAGCACGATCAAAAAAGTTACAGAATTAATTCCCACAAAAGATCAAGAGTATGAAGTTATTTGCTTTTTATATTGGTAAGGATGGGGCTGCATACATTTGTTGTTGTTATATTAATGTTGCCATGCTCCTCATAGCATGTATTCAATCGTAAGAATCTTACTGGTTTAAAAATTGTAAGTTTTTGACAGCCAACAATGAAATTCAGACATTTCTCGTGGTGAGTACAATCGTCAGAATTTTATGTAGACCCTTGCGACATACAATGAAGATAACTGTAAGAAAATCCTTTGCAATTGAGTTTTCTTGATCTGTGGCTGGAATGTCGAAAGGAAACTATCCATTTGTGTGGTGATGGTGATGGTGACAATGATGAGAGGATGAAATGATGACGATGAGTTGTTATAATGACAAGACGACGTTAGGATGTGTTTTATTTCCGGAGCTCATAAATTACAATTATACCAATATAAAATTTTAAGCGTAAGTAATAAATATAATATGGTATATGTATTCTCTATTTCAAATATGACTACTTACACTTTCGTGTGCTCCGGTTGGTACTCATTCATCCAGTTCTCCAAAAACCTGTTCTGCATTTGAGGATGTGGCTATTTTTCGAGTTTGAGGTAGTTAAGAGAAAATTGTAATAGGTTAAAAGTCTTTCAGTGTTTAAGCCAAAAGCCTTTAAAGTTTGAGAGCCACTGTGTGGTTTTGGAACGTTATCTGCCGGATGCGAAACTGGCACTTTTTGACGGTTCATAAAATTGCTCATAAAAATAAGACATGTATCCGTAGCCAGATCTCTTGCAATCTCCAAATGTACAGCTCGGATTATAAGAAAAGTAAACAACGCGATCCAAAGCTTCTCACTCCCTCTGCCGATGATGATGATAATCGAGCCCATATAATAGGGTTAAACGTATGTGAACACCCTGACGAAAGGTGTGCGCCCATCAACTGGTAGCTGGCCCATTTATAGAGGAACCTTTATGATGTGTGACGCACATCAGCCCTGATTTGCGGTATCCAATTGCTCCGTCGAAGCCCCGGAATTATATTTAATATTATTGGTCGATGTGAGTACGGAGGGATAGCGATCGCATTATCATTTTTTCCTCCTCCTAGAAACGGTCGATTTGAGTCGAACGGATTACTTTAACTTCTGCTTGGCTTATTTCCTTAGCGCCTAGTTCTGGGCTGGTACTTTCGGCCACTTTCTTCCGAATGTATAAGATCCAACCTTCCACTGTAATCATTCGCTTCCTTGCTGAAAATCGACGCGTCGACCTTTATCGTTAAAAAAGCGTATTTCGTTCAAATTTCTTCATTCGTACTTCAAAGCATCAGGTTCGGCAACCAATGAGCTCATCCTCTTCTAAATTATTTAGCCCGCTAACCCCTTATTCTATCAGCTTTTGGTCGTGTTCCGAATACGGCTGAGTTTGAACTTCTCGGAACCCATTGTCACCTGCTGACGCCGCAAGTATCCAAGATTTCATTCACGCCATAAGCCACATACGGTTTATAACGCCGGCTCCATTCTCAGGAATTTTTGGTTTAGGTGTAGTCAAGCTTGGGGTGTAATGAAGCTTTGTTAAGTTTCTGGGTATACTGTTAAAGTTGCGAGGTTATACTCAGTTCTTACTTTTCGGACATAAAGCTCCAAAATGCGATAGATACCAGGTGTGATTACCTCCTCACTTGAATTCATCCGCTACCGGTTTCGTTGAGTATCCTTTCTCTTCGGATTCTTCTACCGCTCGAACATATGCTACCTCAAGGCAATTATCGTAATTAAACTTGCTTTCTAAAGACAGCAATCTATTTTCTGCCATTTTTAGGCTATTCGGTAATTTCATATTACCTTCTTTCCAAATTAAACTTGTATCGAAGTGAGCACCATTTCTTAAGGTCGAATTTTCAAGTAGGCATATAGCCCTGTACGGGTTTCCGTACATCATTTATTATGTATTCATGTATGTACATGGTGATCCCTTTCCAATCCAGCCAAGCTTTGTAAGTGTTACCGAATACCCGTTTATTTCATCGTCGTCATTTTTCTTGAAATGCCTAAGTGTGAATTACATAATCCAATTAATAATTCCAGGATAGCTCCACCCTATCGCGTGATGGGCAAGTTAGGAAAAGTCTGTGCCGGGGATAAAAGATTGGCTACTGTAAAAACTTTCTCTCGAAACGACAGACTCCAGATATATTATATGCACGACCACCCATACCATTGCAGCGTCAACATCTTCCAGTCTACCAGCTAACTCGTTGTTCATCCTTGATATTGCTGAACCATCATTAATTTGACCATTGGCACACAACCGTATTGGAAATATTTTATGCAGCAACTCAAACTACCGCTTCCGTAGAATTTTGAACATTTGCCGTTTATTGCCGCCTTGCATGTAACAGTTCTTGTTGTTTTTTTACGCAACCGTTAATGTTATTATTGTGACGCTCGATGCATTGATTACTAGTAAGACCTCATTTCAGGCAGTTGAAACACAATTCATTTTAACGTACCAATCGCCATCGGTGACTCAACTGCATGTCCAAGAAATTTCTACACCTGCTTAAGACATGGTCACCATCACACGCCGCACATGCACTTCCACTGAAACGCCACTGTTTAGATCCTGGAAAAAACGACCGTATTTACATGCTGCCTAGAGTTATGTAAATCCTTCTTTGTTCGAAGGCTCTCCCACACATATTCGAACATGTAGTAATTTCATCCCCAAATTCACTTTCTACTTTATTTTTTACCACTCTAGTTTGTAAATTACATTTTCATCTAAGTTAGTTTTTAAATAAATGTTTCTAAAAAAACGAATTATTGTGAGTTGAAAATAAGAAATAAAGAAAGAAACACATCTTTTTCTATTTAATTTATTTCTAGGTTCCGTGCCCAAATTGACACAAGCGCCAGCTACTAGATCCAAAAATCCTTGCAACCAATCGCTAAATTGACGTACGTTCGGTTGTGCTACTATTGTTAGGGCGTGCTGCGTCCAATCGTTCCGCTTCTTCACGTCAACTTAGTTAGCAACTCTTCCTTCCTTCCTTCGTCATAGCAAACGCCTCCTTAAACATGATTTGACTTTAAGACGCCCATCGAATTCAG